CTGTTTGGGTGGGTGGGGGGGACCATAGAGTTGGTGGGAGAGGCCATAGAGAGACCTCCAGGCAGGAGGGTGGCAAGAGAGACCGTAGAGTTGAAGATGAGGCCATAGAGTTGAAGGTGAGACCATAGAGTTGATGGCAAGACCATAGAGTTGATGGCCGCACCATAGAGGGGCCACAGGGGGTGGGGGGGAGCACAGGAGTAGCCATAGAGAGACCATAAAGAGACTCCCAGGATCATAGAGTTGATGGAGGGATCATAGAGAGACCATTGGGGGTGGGGGGATGTCTGGGAGTTTGTGGGGTGGGGGGAGCAGGGGAGACCCCCGGTGGGGGGGGCAGGGAGACCCTCAGCAGGGGCCGAGGGGAGGGGAAGGGACTTAAAGGGCCTGAGGGGACCCAGGGGCGACTGTTAAAGGGGGCTCGGGAGGACCAGGAGCCCGGGGAAGGAGCAGGAGAGGCCGGGAAGGGAATGGGATGGGAGAGCCCACGGAAAAAGGCCATGGAGATGCTGGGACGCCCCCATTTAACCCCGCTTTTTCCTCCTCCCCGGGCCCCGCAGACAAGACCATCATCATGTGGAAGCTGACGCGGGACGAGACCAACTACGGGATCCCGCAGCGGGCCCTGCGCGGCCACTCGCACTTCGTCAGCGACGTCGTCATCTCCTCGGACGGGCAGTTCGCGCTCTCGGGCTCCTGGGACGGCACCCTGCGCCTCTGGGACCTCACCACGTGAGGCGCTTGTTTCCCCCCCAAATCCAACCCTTTTCCCCCCAAAATGCAGCAAAATCCAACCTTCTTCCCCCAATTCCAACCTTTCCCCCCCAAATCCAGCAAAATCCAACCATTTTTCCCCCAAAACCTGCCAAAATCCAACCTTTTGTTCCCCCAAATCCAGCCTTTTTTCCCCTAAACCCCAGCAAAATCCAACCCTTTTCTCCCAAATCCAACCTTTTTCCTGCCTAAACCCACCAAACTCCGGCCTTTTTCCCCCCAAACCCAGCAAAATCCAACCTTTTTCCCCAAAATCCAAGCTTTTTTTTCCCCTAAAGCCGCCAAAATCCAACCTTTTCCCCCCAAGCCCCAGCAAAATCCAACCCCTTCCCTCAAATCCAACCTTTTTTCCCCCTAAACCCACCGAAATCCAACCTTTTTCCCCCTAAACCCACCGAAATCCAACCTTTTTCCCCCTAAACCCACCGAAATCCAACCTT